TGAGCTCTTGATAAAATTGCTAAAATTATCTATTAGCCATTAGCCCTCAAAAATGTTTTAGGATTACATAAATTCCTTTGTATCTATCTAATTCTCTAAGAATTTTATAAAATAGTTCTTTCAACTCATATTGTGATCACACTGAGACATCAATAAATCCTTGGCAACAGATCAGTAATTCTGATATTTGATAAATTAATCCAGTTGGTTTTAACAACACAGCTATTTCACTTAGAGAAAGCACCACAAAAAATGGTTCCAGCAATTGTAGTTGGATAGCTGAAGCAAATGTGGGAAGTAAGCAATATTAATACAAAGTATTTATTTTTCGGACATGGCAGCTTAGTAAAGCAGGCTGTGGCATAATTTATCTGTGTTTTGTCATATTATTGAGATGTTTATTCTAACAAATATTTACTATCATGCATTTACTACAAGTGACTTAAATGCAAATTCACCTGAACTATAAAATTACTACAAAATAAAAGAGCTTGTAAACATATCCCACATTATTGTGGTATAAATAATTTTTATGAATTCAAAACTACTTTGGCAATCTTACCATAAGAATATTTTGAATATTCGAAATACAGATATTAAACAGAATATTGTTAGAAATTCACATTTCCTTCTCCCTTCCTGATAAAAACAAGTAAAGCTTTTAGTCTATTACATGTTCACATTATTTTGCTCATTTTAAGTGGACATAAATTTTAAATCTTAGTTCTGTTTTAAGCGCTTTTAAAAATTAGTCTTCTAATTGCAGTCCAGAATGTTTTCATACTGCATGTGTATCAGCCTAAATACTTTACAAAAGCTTATGTTCTGTCAGGGAAGCATGACTAGCAAACTGAGTCGGGGTCCTATTAGGATCACTTTTTAAAGTCTACTTATTTTTTAACTTAAGTGACACCTTGTAAGGTTGCTATAGTAATTAAGTGAAAACACTGCCTGAGTATGCTTCTTGAGCTGAAATAGACTAAAATTCACAAGAATTTCTGATGTTCATATAAGTTATAATTTCCTGAAGTTCCAGCATAATATAGAAAACATTAGATTGAGAATTAGAAAACTTAAAAGATTGCAGAAGACCAGACTCTGCTAGATCAATTACTGTTGCCGGACCTCCGTTTCCCTGCCTATGATAATTAGGGAAGTGGATACTGGATAAATCTTTCAAGTTCCTTTCAGCTCTCAAGTTAAGGTACTTCTAGTGGAGACAAGAGATTTTTGCTCAAATACCTGATTAGACCTGATCAGGCCTGCCAACAGAGGATAAACAACCCTGTAGTTAAAATAATCCTTCCTCCCTGTTTGTGGGCATTAGCCTTTGTAAGATACAAACATAAATAAATGCACTAAAGTATCTGTGTGTGTGTGTGTGTGTGTGTATATTAGTACTTGAATCCTTGAAGCAACTGTTTTAATGGCTTCACATACACCTCTATATGTCTGAACTCAGTTTTCATATAATAAATGTTCTCTTAACTCTTTATCAAAATGATCAACTGTTTATTCCCTCCCCCCGCCCACCACTTGTCCTAGCAGGCCATACAAAAGAAATTATTTCTTAGCTGTTTGCTCTGCTTTGATTTCTAATGGATGTGTTGGTTTAACAAATACAACTAATTCTTGTGAATGTAAAGTCTATTCCAAAATATTCCTCATCCTATCTACACAGTGCTGACACAAATCAGATACTCAATAAAATATTTGAAATGAACACAGAAAAACCATCCTAAATCAGAAAGGGAAGGTTTCCACAAATACTTCCTAGCATTTACAAAAACCCTTTGAGTCACCAATATTAATTTCCATTTGTCAGACTAAAAGACAAAATTGCTTTTTTGAGTGTGTGGGGTAAGGGACAGGGGTGGCTAGAGGAGCAAAAGAGTAGCTTAGGATATAAGAAATTCGGCATTTTTATCACACAATGTTATACTGACATGGATGGAGTCTAGAAATACTTGGTGTATGGAAGCTAGGATTATTTCTAGAAACCTATTTAGATTGACAAACAGGTTAAAAATTCTTAGGTTTAATGAGTAAAGTCTTATCTGTTAGGTAAACAGGGAAGCATAATTAACATATTCATTTTAAGAAATTGTGAAGAATCATTTATTTTAAATTTAAGTAAGATCCAAATAAATATGCTCTTAAAAAGAGATTTTTTCTGTACATAAAAATACTGACAGAGATTAGCTCCCAGATGAAAAATTCATATATGAGAAATTTAAATGTAATTCTAAATTTCGAATGTGTTGTCATTTAAAAACAGGCATTAATGATTTACAAAGACAGCGGTGCTCATTGCCAACACATTATTAGAGTTAACCTCAAAAGTAAACAAAGCCCTAAATGAAAGAACATGCCAACCATGACATTTGTCTGTTTATGTCTACAGAACTGTATGGTTGTCATATTCTGTCCATACAGTTAAAATAAGCAGATTTTATTTTTTAATTCAGATAAAAAACAACTGCCAAAACAGTTATTTAATATGTAGACCCCAACATGATTTTATTTTCCACTCTTTATCATGATGTCATATAGCAGCCTAAATTACATTTATCTGTTGGTAGAGAATGGAATGTTCAAATAAGACCATAGTTAATTTATACTGTACAGTCGTGACTGTAAAATCAGGAAATAGATAAAAGAATTTCTCTTTGACATAAAGGTTATGTTTACTTCTCTCTTTAAAAAAAACTTAAAATCTTTTAATATGATAATTGATTTGGTATCTTGCCTATCAATGTTTAGGACCTTAACTTCCTTAAATTTATTATTATGGATTTGAATATTTGAGATGACATAATTTAGATTATAATAAAGATTTTATTTGTTTATTTTTGGTGGCTGGCTGGTATGGGGATCCAAACCCATGACCTTGGTGTTATAAGGCTGTGCTCTAACCAACTGAGATAACTCGCCAGCCCATAACAAAGATTTTAAAATGTACATTTTCTCTTCATACTAAATGGCATTCCAAAATATCTACCATTTGACTCTAAACTTTATCAAGACTAAACAGCAATATTCAGAAACCATTAGGAAATAAATCTTTTTTAACCACAATCCATATAAAATAATTGTGTAAAATAACATTTGAATAGATGAGCAAATTTTCACTTATATTAAACTGGACATTTTTAAAGTTCTACCTATCTATAGACTTAGAAACAAAAAAACCTGAAGAGGAAATATATACACCCTTAATGGGAATCAGATCCTCCACCAGGCTGTACAATCCAAACTTTCCTTATTAACATGCTTATAACTTAATTAGTATTATAAACTGGGGTAATTTAATTATACATAAAAATGACAAGATAACCCTATTTAAGTTACTGAGGAGTTATATTTAGAAATAAGTCAATAATGTTTTATTCCTTGTTTGAAGAATCCCAACCAAGAGACCAGGGTGAACAAAGCTTGCTATGAACTGAAATGAGTGCTGAAGAGTAATAATTTAGTTATGAGTAGGAACAAGTCACAATTAATTGCTCTTACTTTAGCTTACAGTATTAATATGCTTAAACTTTAATGTGCATGTTAGACACCACTTCTAAAGTTAGGAATAAAATAAATATAACATTTGGAGAATAAAGCATCTTTTTAAGTTGAGCTGCTAAACTGTAACCCCTGTTCCTCAGTAAAGGAATGTGCAGATTTTGAACAATTCCATAGCAGCAGAGCACGCACTCAGTAAAACACAAATTATCTTTGCTTCTTATGGCAAAATACTAACCCCTGTTCCTCAGTAAAGGAATGTGCAGATTTTGAACAATTCCATAGCAGCAGAGCACACACTCAGTAAAACACAAATTATCTTTGCTTCTTATGGCAAAATAAAAGTATTGAGTAAGAAACCGAATTTCCTTACCCTTCTTTGACTGCATAACTCTCAATATAAGCTGTGTTTTAAAGTATGAACTTATTTAAAATGCATAAAAATGTGAGAATGTACAATATACATACATACCTCCTAGTGGGGTCAAATGAGTGCCTTTTCATTAGACATACAAAGATGTCTCAAGGCACTTAAGGGGTTAAGACACAATGCATGCATTCCTTTACATCAAGTATGTGAAATCACATGATTTGGAATAAGCCAACCTTATCATAAATATAAGTTACATTATTAAATCCAAGAAAATTTGTAGATTCATACGTATTTATACTTTCTATAAGATGCTGGTAAATGGACAATGTGCAGCATTTCCTGGGAACAGCAAATTTCACCTTTCTTCTTCTGAACAGCAGATGTCTACAGGGGGTGTTTAGGGAAAGATGTGCTGCATCCATAGGCAGTGTATTGGCTAATATTGAGAATGATATTGCTAAAATTTTAAAAATAAAATCTGGTAATCAGTATAGTAAGTACATGAACCGCTAGAAAAGACCAGAGCTGACTCCTGATGTTTACTTCTTTTTGCTTTCAAGATACAGGTGTATAACAGAGATGATGAGCCTAGTTTATGGCAATTCTACCAAAAGGGGATTGCATGGCACCACCACAGAATTTCATAAATTACCCTGAACACACTGAGTTATTCACTATTTGTTTGGAGCAGAGCATGAAAAAATCTTCCAATACATGAGTTATAGATTTTGAAAGAGTGACATTTTTTTTTAACATAAAGTGCAACAGTGCTGAAGTTTTCAAAGTTTTTTTGAGTTCTTCATTTTTTTGTTAGATGCCATTTCCTGCGAGCAGTATTATGGCACAGTGAATATAATGGAAAACAGTTTTCCAATGTATATCTCAGACCTTTTCCTTTCTTATTTATTTGATGATGTTGTTAAGGGTTTAACAAAGCCTTCTTCATAAACTTTCAAAATAGCTTCACACACAAATCTGTATTGACTCTGCAAAATATAAAAAACAGAATCGATTAGAAAAACCAGAAAACAAATGAACAAACAAACAAAAAAAAATGACAAACATCTCACCTGGTTTGCTTATAAAAGAAATTCAAAGTAAAACTGTGCTGAGACACCATTTTTCACCAATACACTGGCAAAAATAAAAAATGTGTGGCAGCATATTTTGTTGGCAAAACTCACTCATACATTGCTGGTAGGAATGTTAAATACTGCAATGCCTAGGAAGGGGAATTTGGCAGCATCTAACAAAATTACATTAATTTTCCTTTTGACCCAGCAATCCCACTTCTAGGAATCTATCCAAAAGACAAACTAGAAAAAGAAATTGAAAACACATTTCACAAATGAGGCTACTAATTTCCTGATTATTTACAATCATAAAAAAGGTAGAAACAATCCAAACTGCAGTCAGTAAGAATGAGCAATCTATGATACATCCTCACAATGGAATACTATCTAGTTGGGGGAAAAAGGAATAAAAGTGCATAGACTACTTTCGGATAATCCCAGGATGTTTTATAAAGTATAAAAAGCAAGGTAGTTAAAAAATGTGTACAATATATTATCTTTATAAAAGAAAGGGGGGAAATACTAATGTCTATCTCAGTATATGTTAAAATAAAAAGCAAGGGAAGGATAAATCATTAAAAAATGGTTTCCTATAAAAAATGAAGAGAAAAGGTAGGAGGAGAGGAATAGAAACTAGATTTCGTTAAATATACCTTCCTTCTTTTATAGATTTTACTTTGGAACCATGTAAATATAGCATATAATTACAAAATCAATTTCAAAAATCCCTAAAAATTGAAAATATCATGAAACAGATCAATGTATATATATATAGTTGATGGCATAATCACAGAGGGGAGCTATTTCAAGGGACTTTAAAAAGAGTAATTTGAGTGTGTGAATATATCTCTTAAAGGATATATCTGAAGGGCAAAAAGAACTGTGGAAAAATTGAAAATTCTTTCAGTAGCCATACTATTTATGGTGGTAGTGTTAGTGCTTTTATTCTGAAACTGTTATTTTGCAATGTAGGATTAAACAAATGAGTACTTGTGATATTCTAAGTCTTTCATTGCTGATATTGTAAAGAACCTGTAATCTTGTTAAAGAAGAAAGGAGATAAAGATGTAAGATAAAAGAAGATAAGTAAAAACACTGTGGTCCTGAATTTATATTGGAAGAATCAGCATTAACTCATGATAAATGTATTTTCTTAGCTCTGGCAATTGAACATTTCTAGAAACAAACACTAACCCAACAGCAATAAAAACCCTTAGTGCTCAGATGGTGGTACCTAAAATCATTTCTCAGGAAAAAGAACCAGGACTTGGAGAAACTACCATTTCCAAATATGGGGCATGAAATGTACAAGCTAGGGTGTACAAGGAAGCTATCAAAGGTACTAGGACCTTATCAAAGGTCTCAGGAGCCAAGCATAATATACTCGCACTGGCCAAAAATAGGACTATTTGGGCATCATTAAGAAAAATAACTACAATGGGTTGAAACACATCAAATATGTTTAAATCCATGAATTCAAAATAATACTAAAACAAAAGTAAAATGTCACCAGTGGAGAAGCTAGTGAACCAACTCATTATACTGAAAACTTATAAATAAAGGAAAAAAATCAAGTGTTTATCTTGCCTTTCCTATACACACCACACCACTGGTTAAGCAAACAGCATATGAGAAGTTTCTCTTTAAAGAAGTATTGCAGTCAATAAATGAAGACGGGATGATAGAATTAGAATATCATCATTCTGCAAATCCAATGAATTAATGGATGCAGGCACTGGTCACCCAAGCACTCTAACATCACAACAAAGGATCAGACATTATATGACTCTTGAAGAAAGAACACATCACCTAAGCTGATCAAACCAACAGATCCATTTACCACTCTTAGGAAATATAGATACTACCACCAAGAGGATGTAAATTAGCAAAATCCAGACTGCGTACAAACAACCTGGTTTGTTCATCAAATAAATTGCAAGAAAAAGGACAAGAGATGGAAGAGGAAGCTTCTTTAGATTAAAAGAGATTTAGGAAACATATAAACCAATCAAGATGTGTAGATCATACATGAATTCTGATTTTAAACAAACTGTGAAAACAAAAACAAAATACAGACCTAAATAAACAGAAAGACAATCCTGTGTTCACAGTTTCAAAGATGTAATATCATTAATATGGCAATATTCCTAAATTGATCTACAGTCAACACAATCCCTACCAAAATTCTGGCTGCCTTCTTTTAAGGAAGGGCAAACTGATTCTAAAATTCAGATGGAAATGCAAGGGGTCTGGTCCCAAACAGCTAAAATAATCTTGAAAAAGAAGACCAGAGTTGGGGATTCACATTTCCTCACTTTAAATTTTGCAACAAAGCTACAGTAATCAAGACAGTATGGTACTAGCATAGGAATAGACATTGAAAGTCCAGAAATAAACCCTTATATTTGTGGTAAACTGATTTTATAAGGGCCCTGAGATAATTCAAAGGGAAAGAATAGTTCCTTTCAACAAATGGGGCTGGGATACTGGATATCCACATGCAAAAGAGTAAAGTTGGAACCCTATCTCAAACCATATATAAAAATTAACTCAAAATAGATCATAGTCCTAAATGTCAGAGCTAAAACTATAAAACTTGTACAAGAACACAGAGGAGTAAATCTTTGTGACCTTGGGTTAGGCAATAATTTCTTATATGACACCAGAAACATAAAAAATAAAGAAAAAAGAGATAAACTTGACTCCAGCAAAATTAAGAACTTTAGTGCTTCAGATGATATAATCAAGAAAATAAAAAGACAGAATGGAAGAAAATATTTGCATATCATAGATCTGATAAAGGTCTTGTATCCACAAAACATAAAGAACCCTTAAAACTCAACAATAAAATGACAACCCAATTAAAAAATGGGCAAAAGATTTGAAGAGACAATTCTCCAAAGAAGATAGAGAAATAAAGAGCCAATTATCACCTGAAAATATGCTTGATATCATTAGTTATTAGGGAAATGTAAATGAAATTCACAGTGTGATACCACTTCATATAAATAAAAAAGACAATAGCAAGTGTTGAGAATGATGTGGAGAAAATGAAACCCTTATACACTGCTAGTACAATTGCAAAATGGTGCAGCCACTTTGGAAAAAGTCTGGCAGTTCCTCAAAAGGTTGAACATAGAATTATCACAATACCAGCAACTACACTCCTACATTATACCCAAGACAAATGAAAACGTGTTCACACAAAAACGTACATGCAAATGGTCATGGAAGCATTACTCATTAATAGCCAAAAAATGGAAATAACCCAAATGTCCATCAACAAATGAATGGATGAATAAAATGTGGTACATCCACACCATAAAATATTATTCAGCAATAAAAAGAAATGAAGTACTAGTACATACTACAGTATAAATAAACCTTTAAATATTATGCTAATTAAAACAAGCCAAATGAAAAAGACCAAATTGTATGATTCCATTCATATGAAATGTCCAGAATAAACAAATCTATGGAGACAAAGTAGATTAGTGGCTGCCTAGGCTGGGGGTTGGGGAGAGATTAGGGAGGGTATGAGGGAAAATGGAAATAACTGTTAATGAATGTGGGACTTCTTTCTGGGGTGATGAAAATATTCTAAAATTAGGTAGTGATGGTTGTGAACCTCTGTGATACACTAAAAACCACTAAACTGTACACTTTAAAATGGTGAATATTATGGTATGTGAATTATATTTCAATATTGTTCTAAAATAAAAAGACAATCTTATGAAATTGTCTTTCATAAAAGAGTGGAAATTTGAGTACTGGCTACCTGATAATATTAAGGAATTATTGTTAATTACATTTAGGTGTGATAATGGCATGTGTTTTATTTAAAAGGAAGAACAATCCTCATCTTTTGAAGATATACAAATATGGCAAATGTTGGGTCTGAGTACTAACATGATATTCATTATATTATATTGTCTACTTTTCTGTATATTTGAAATTTTCTATAATTAAAAGCTAAAGGGGCTGGCCAGTTAGCTTACTTGGTTACAGCATGGTGCTGATAACACCAAGGTCAATGGTTCAGATCTCTGTACTGGCCAGTCACCAAAAAAGAAAAAAGCTAAAAAAAAAAAAAAAAAAGGCAGGCACTTACTAGATCACATAGTTCAATTTGCTTCAAGTAACTGTATTGCCACTGCCAATATCAACATTTCACAATAAATTAATACAATAAATAATCTTAACACTAATTCTAAAATTCCATGATTCCTCTTTTGATTCCTGGAGGATAATTAAGAGTCAGCAGAGAATACAATAAATAAGTAGCCTAATTTCTATGATTTTTTTTGTTATTGTAATTTTTTTTCTTTTTTTAAAGATGACCAGTAAGGGGATCTTAAGCCTTGACTTGGTGTTGTCAGCACCACGCTCTCGCAAGTGAGCTAACCAGCCATCCCTATATAGGGATCCAAACCTGTGGCCTTGGTGGTATCAGCACCACACTCTCCCAAGTGAGCCATGGGCCGGCTCCTTTGTTATTGTAATTTTTAACTTAAAAAGTCTACTCTTAAAATGCTCTGAAAAGTTTAAGAATAAAGAGATATCACAATGTATACTCTGAATAAATCACTTAACAAAGGTAGCCATGATAGGGAGGAAATAATTTTTTTTTTTTTTTAAGAAAGGTAATTTCACTACAGCTGTTTCACAAAAAGCAAGATCTCCAGGTCAGAGGTACTATCATTTTTAGCATTACATTTGACTAAATAATACAAAGCAGGTGTTATTATTATTTGTACAAATAATACAAATATTATACAAATAATAATAATACCTGTTTAAGCACTCAAGATTTAACATACTAGGCAATTTGCATGTTGGCAAAACTTTTTCTGTGAAAGGCCAGGTATTAAATACTTTAGAAATTGCAGGCCATATGGTATCTGTGGCAATTTTTTTTTTTGTTTTGGTGGCTGACCTGTATGGGGATCTGAACCCTTAACCTTGGTGATACAAAGCTGCATTCTGACCAATTGAGCTAACTGGCCAGTCCTCTATTGCAACTTCTTAACTCTTGTTAAGAAGTATGAAACCAGCCACAGGCAATACATAAACAAATGAGCAAGGCTGTGTTCTACTAAAACTTTATTTACAAAAATGAATGGCAGGCCAGATTTGGCTGGGAAGTAGTTTGCTGACCCCTGTGCTAAGGGTTATTAGCTCCGACAAGGAATTAAAAAGAGAAAAATACAATTTAGAATACACATTGATAACAAAAATCATCACATTAAGAATACACACTTGTACATGAAGTACAGTACTTACAGGTGTTTGGATCATCATGGCTCGTTGATCTCTCATTGTTCTCACAATGTCTAGTGGATAAACTGGTTGATTGCATTCAATGAGACACATGGCTGTTTCCATAGTAATAAGAACTCCAGTTCTTCCAATTCCAGCACTAAAAGAGACAAATATGGGCAAGGTCTTACTGACACTATTCTGTTAAACTTCTTCTGGTTTTTGTGCAGAAAATTAAAGTACTGAAGTGTAATACAAAAGAAGAACAATCCAGCACTAAAAGAGACAAATATGGGCAAGGTCTTACTGACACTATTCTGTTAAACTTCTTGTGGTTTTTGTGCAGAAAATTAAAGTACTGAAGTGTAATACAAAAGAAGAACAGTATTATAAAAGTAGCAAGTCAACTACAGAATATTTTGAAAGAAAAAAAAAGCACTCTTAACAGATTCATTTAATATAGATTAAATGGATTATATTCCTCAACCCCCACCATTGTTAGTAGTAAAATACTATTTTAAAAGAGTTCCATTTCAGGGTTTAAAATCTAAACAAGCTATAGAAGTTTATTGAAACACCCCCCCTTTAAAATGCAAAATAATAGTATTATAATAAGTCATTAAGAAATACACAAAAGAGAATAATATTTTACACTCTCAAATCAGTTTTTTAAACAAAATTTAATTTTAATTAAACTTTACCACTGAGACAGTCAAGAACAATTCTTTGAAGTATAATCTGTGCGTATGAATGAAATAGCTATCAGGGACCTGGGATATTAAATGGCCAAATATGTTTTGCCATTCTTGCCGTTTGCCTCTCAATATTTGGGCTACAATATGTCTGGATAATTTAAAAAATCTACTCTTAAAATGTTCTGAAAAGTTTAAGGACAAAGAGATATCTCAATACATCCATTGAATAAATCACTTAATGAACGTGGCCACGATAGGGAGGGAATAATTTCTGTCTCCTAATCTGTGTCAATGGCAGAGAAGGTTGGAGTCATGGTATTTGGCTCTTAGAGGGTAGAAGGGGACCTGGGTTTGAAAGGAAGGAAGGTAGCCTGCCTCTGTTCACCTAGAGCTCTTAGAAGTGGTATATCCTGTAATGGCATTTGGTAGGGCCTTTCAAAGAGAGCTGACAGTACTCAATGAATGTCCTAAAACCGGCTACAGGCAAGGAAAGAGTACCACGCTGGGAGGGAGGGAATCTAAATCTTAGGCTGCAACCTAATACTTATGCTATGTTCTGTATGTGTCCTCCAAAATTCTTATGTTGAAACATAATAGCCAATGTGATAGATAGTATTAAGAGGTGATTAAGTCAGGAGGGCAGAGCCCTCATGGATGGGATTAGGGTTCTTATACAAGGACTTGAGGGAATGGGTTCACCCCTTCTGTTCCTTCCAACCCTTCTGCCATGTGAGGACACAGCATTGGCCTCCTATGGGGGATACAGCAACAAGGCAACATCTTGGAAGCAGAGAGCAGCCCTCACCAGACACTGAACCTTGACCTTGAACTTCCAGCCTCCAAAACTGTGAGAAATAAATCTCTGTTCTTTATAGGTTACCCAGTCCCAAATATTTTGTTATAGTGCACAAATGGACTAAGACAACCTACAATATTGTATTTCTTTTTGTTTTTTTTTAAAAGACGACTGGTAAGGGGATCTTAACCCTTGACTTGGTGCCGTCAGCACCACGCTCTCCCAAGTGAGAGCCAACTGGCCATCTCTATATAGGGATCCAAACCCGCGGCCCTGGTGTTATCAGCACCATATTCTCCCAAGTGAGCCACGGGCTGGCCCTACAATATTGTATTTCATCAAATCTAAGCTACCATTAATTGTAAAACACATTCCAATTTCAAACATGCTAAAGTATGAAAAGGATGAGCTTCTAAGAATCAGTGTAATAGGTATTATTATCTCTTTACAGATAAAGTTTCTGCCAATTATATGTTAGAACATACCCTTTGCCTTCTATCTTCACAGCACAGCTTTGAGTTCTAATGATCATAGTGACAATTATAAAGACAAAATAAAATAGTATTCCCTCTTAAAAATGAGATATCTAGTCAGCTATTCACTCACAAAAGACAGGAAACAGTATACCTGCAATGAACAACAATAGGTTCCTCCTTGCCAGCTCTCTTATTTCGTACGTGACAAACAAAATCCAGAAAGTCACTTGAATCATCAGGGACTCCATGGTCAGGCCAAGCTATGTACTGGATCTGAGTGACTTGGCGACTCTCATTTTTCTAAGTACAAGAGACAAATTATGCACCTTGACTCAGGAATTATTTTTAAAATACCAATAAATCTTCATGTCATTTTAATTTTAGAAGGAAAGCAAAAAAAACTATTCCCCTCCCCCCAAAAACGTAATGTGTAAACTCACTAAAACCCAAAATTTCAACCCAAAGACATCATTTTATAGTGACAGTTGTATCCATTTAACTACTGGCTACTTGTATCACTACTTTTTTAATAACTCAATTTCTGTATTTTCTTTTTTTTAAAAGTATTTTTAAGATGATAATCAGGTAAACAGGTAGAAACAAATTAAGATTCAGAGAAAACACTTAAAGAAACTTAAAGAATTGTTAGGTGAGCAAAAATAAGGTAAAAAACATTTTCTGTGAACAAAATTGAGTTAATGCTAACACAACACAGATGAAATTATACAAATTAGAAAAATAAAATCTCACCACAAATGTAGATTATAAACTGGAGATCATAAAAACACAAAGTCAAATCAGGGATTACTTCTTTTTTTGGAGCCAATGATTGGTATAATGAAGAGAGTAACAGCATTGGATTTAGATACATCTTGGTTCAAATCTTGACTCTGCCAGATATGGCATTTAATATTTCAGAGCCTCATTTCCTTCAACTGAAAAATGAAGTAACATCTACATCTCAAAGGGACAGTCTTATGTTGAAAAAATTCCATGAGAGGACCTGTAAATCACCCAATCAGCTACTTGGCACCATATGCTCAATAACAGGTAGCTACAGTCATTCAATACTATGAAATCTGGTTACTGCCATTTACGTTAAAGGGAGCTTCCAGAAAAGACCATAAAAGTAAAAAGTAATCAAGATTTGGGGTAGTGTCTGTATGTCCATCATTTTCTGTATATCCATGTGTGTATTTATTTATGGTAGCAAATTTGTTTTCCCAATTATATTTGGCTCAAACTTTAGAAACTAATTTGTATCTCAGCATAGTTTTGAGGTACTCAGAGTGTGTAAAGAAAAGTCATTACAGTATATAAAACTGCCACGGAAAATCTACAGGTGGAATATAATAAAGAGACTATGCTGAAGATATTGTTTTATATAAACATACACAGGCTTTCTTCCATTGCCTATTTGAGAAAATGAAGAACTATCTTATTGGCTTGGCCTGTTACCTTAGAACTAACAGTATATGCCCCCAAACCCTAAATTCATTCTGATGGACTCTCTAGGCTGTAAGATTTAGAAATCTAATTCTAATTTTTACTTCCTCTAACTTTAGCTTCATTCAATGCCCGATTCCTTTTCTATAAATTAGCACAACTTCTGGCTCCTTCCCTTTTGGTCAATAAGGCTCTGTCTCACTGGTCTCCTTTAAACACACTCTTGGGATAGAAGTATAGCTCCCATTTCTAAAGGCTTAACCACTGATGACAGAGTGGGCCTTCATACTTCGTGCTGTTTGCTCTTCTCTAGCAGTTATTTCCTTCTTCTTTTAGTCTTCTTCAAAGCCAAAGGTGACTGGCATGGGAATATCTAGCTGCAGGCACTGAAACTGAGGTTTATTGTCTCTAGCAACCTGACAGACTGGCAGCATGGTGCCCTATGCACACATCTTCCAATTGGGGTACCGAGCCACCATTTATTAATCAGTTTCCATTTCTGGCTTTCTGCCTTTGGATTTGGAAGCCAAGGGGAGTGACCCGGGCAGAACTAAGAAAAGCTAGCAATTAAAAATCTATAATCAGTCTGCTGTCAGAAAGTCCAGCCTATGACCTTTTCTCCCTTAATACATAGAGGACTGTGAAGTTGTATTCTTTTAAAAAAGGGAAATAATTCATAGCTTTCAATCATGTTTTTCTTTTCTTCTTTTTTTTTTAAAAGATGACCAGTAAGGGGATCTTAACCCTTGACTTGGTGTTGTCAGCACCACGCTCACCCAGTGAGCAAACCGGCCATCCGTATATGGGATCCGAACCCATGGCCTTGGTGTTATCAGCACCGCACTCTCCCGAGTGAACCACAGGCCGGCCCTCAATCATGTTTTTCTATTTCCACAGACACACCCAAATATTTCACTGATATTACTTGGATCAAGAATTTTTTATAATTAAACACAGCCTTGGTATAATTGTTATGAGTAGGCAAAGTAGTAATAATAGTATTATTTACCAAACTCTTTTTTCACTGACCATTCATATTTAGGTGTAGAAACTGGAAATACACTTATTAGTCGATAGCAGTATACTCTTAATAAAACTCCAAAATATCCCATTGAAACAGACAAATAGTTCAGTAATTTTTATATTTCCTAGTAACCAGTATTCAGACTAAAAATATCTTCATCTTTCAAAGTCTTCACCGTGAACAAAACATTTCTAATGAATAGATATTCTGCTTTCCTACCTCTTGGTTAAATAGCGTCATCTTTCTGAAGATATAGGCAGTGTTTCCTTCTTCTGAGTGACAGGTGACTTGATAGCATCCATAGGATGAACTTCCTGTGGGTTCTGGCCAATACTGGTGACATTTAACCTGACACCAACAGAAATAAATAAATAAATAAATAAATAAAATCATACACATATAAAAGCCAAGTTTTCCAATTTTTAAAATGTTTTAATTTTTTTTTTTTTTTAAAGATGACTGGTAAGGGGATCTTAACCCTTGGCTTGGTGTTGTCAGCACCAAGCTCAGCCAGTGAGCTAACCTATATAGGATCCGAACTCATGGCCTTGGTGTTATCAGCACCGCACTCTCCCGAGTGAGCCATGGGCCGGCCCCAAAATGTTTTAATTTTTAAGAACTTTCAAACTTAGAGAATAATTTAATAAACTCTCATATATTTTTCAGCTAGGTCTGCCAATTATTAACATTTTTTCATTGTCACTTTTTTCCTTTGTAATAATATGTAATCTGTTTAGCTATATTTTATTTT